GACCAGAACATTTGTTCCGAATATGGACTAGAGGTGCCGGATCAAGATGACAAACGCCTCCAAAGGTGGTTGAGAACAATCAGGCCGATATCCTGTGGGACTTCCAGATCCAGACTGACAAACCGATGATAGCCAACCAGCCTGACATAGTGGTGGCGGATCAGCATCAGAAGATAGCAGTGTAGCAATCCCAAATGAGCAACAAAAGGAACATTAAAAGCTGGAGCAATACCAAGGACTGAAGGAAGAACTAGAGAAAATCTGGAAGATAAAAACAACATTGATGCCAGTACTCAACGGGGCATTGGGGCTTGTAACGACCGAGCTGGTTGGATGCTGGGTGGATGGCTCCAACAGAAACCAATACTGGCAACAGCTAAGACCCTGCACAGAACCATCAATCTCCCAGGCCTCTGGTAGAGGACCAGAGCTTGAAGGAGTTAAGGAGATACCCCCCAGGTGGACGAGGAAACAATTATATAAACACTACTCATAAAAAGTAAGGGATATTTGGCCCCCTCTAGTATTTAAGTTCCCATCCCTGGTATAACTTATTTAATGAAAACACGGCACAGATGGGGCAGCCTGGTGTTCGGCTGGTTAGCGTATCAGTCTCACAGTGCAGAGCTGCAGGGTTCGATTCCGGCTCTGGCCTTCCTATGTACAGTTTGCATGTTCTCCCTGTGCCTGTGTGGGTTTTCTCCAGGTACTCCGGTTTCCTCCCACATTCCAAAAACACGCAGAGCAGTTTAATGGAACACTCAAAATTGTCCCGAGGTGTGAGTGTGAGCGCGGATGGTTGTTCGTCTCTGTGTGCCCTGCGATTGGCCAACAACCGGTTCAGGGTGTCCCCCGCCTACTGCCCGAAGACAGCTGGGATAGGCTCCAGCACCCCGCACGACCCTTGTGAGTATAAAGCGAATCGGAAAATGGATGGATGGATGGACCATATCAGGTTTCTCAGAGCTTGCTGATGAGATGATCATTTGAATCAGGGCTGTTGGAGTAGGGAGACATCTAAAATATGCTGGATAGAGGCCCTCGAGGACCGAAGTTGAACACTCCTGTTCCTTGAGGCTGCTCAAGCACCCAGAAATTGAATCTTAGCACCCCTAAAATTTAAGAGCCTGTTTATTTTCTACTATACTGTAACCCTTTTTAAACAAGCTAGAAATGTTAAAAGCATACATTATTAGATTGAAATGTAATATTTTAACAGATAGACAATTGTGGTTTCATGACCTGGTTTAAGCGGGAGATGAAGAACATTTTTTAAATGTCCCATGTTACCATTTTTTCTCCCGTTTTATGTTTGGCAAATTGAAATATGTCATCTATGCCGTTAGTTCACTTTATACAATAGCAGTTTGCTATATTACATTTTGCGATGCAAAAGTTCGTAAAACAAGCCCTTCACATGTCCATGTTGTTGTAATGTACTGTCGATGCATGATTCGTAAGTCAAGTCCCTGCCCACTTCATAGTTGCTACACGCACACTCAACTCAGAAAAAAAAACGGCTGAGCGACAACGCAGTTGCGTGTTGACCAAAGCTAAACTTTGCATCACCTGCTAACCTTAGCTGAGTTGAGGAATAAGTGACTTCAATTGTTTGGTTTTTTTTTTTGAACATTTCCATAGCATTTTGGACAAGAATTGTGCTGTGTTCGGGCATCACATCATGCAGGGAACCCCCCAGCGTTAAGTACGGGTGTTCCAAAAAATGTTTCACCAGCATACTGGAGCAATGCTGCACGAACAATCAATGTAGCAGTTGCAGCTAGAACTATCTTAACCTGGTCAGATTTATGGTATACCTCGGCGGCTTTCATGACAGTCCAAACCCACCTTTGTGGGCGAACAATCCAACGCTTGATGAATTTTGCATAACATTGATAGAAAGCACCAACACCATTGTTACGCAACAGGTTCTTATGAACGCTTGGCTATCATAACACGTTAAGATATAGAATATTATCAATCAGAGCAAAGCTGTTTTCCGTATTCAATTTGAGGGGAGCAGCAATCCAATCAAAGCAAAGTGTATTACAGATTGAATATTCATGAGAAATCCAGCCATCCACTCTGCCAGGTGTTTTTGAGCAGCTGGAAAAGCTTGAAAAAGGGCATTCTGGATATTTCCAACCCAAATCATCTTCCAAACCGAAAACATTGACTTCATAGATTATCCCCAAAAATGTGTCAAGGGAACTTTAATTTCTACCACACAATACCAACACATTGTGACAATTACGTGTTGACCACACTATTGTTGTGACCATTCCTCATGCTGCTTATAATCATAGCTCACTGTTTATGTTGTTTGAGAGGAGTTAGCGAACATTTTTCTAGCTAGGAAATGGTTCAGGTGCTAAGAGACAACACCACTGTCCGCTGCTTGAAGTGGAAAGAGAGAAGCTATGCCAAGGTGAAACTGAGCTTGCTGACTGGATGCCCATGAACATGAGCGGGCCCTATTTTCATAGACAGGCGCACAACTGACACATCTTTTTCGTGCTGAGGCAAGTCTAGTTTACAGAGTTCAACAGACCACGTTGGGCCTCACTGGGCTTTTTGGCGGACCAACGGCAGTGTTTATTACATGCCCCCAGCACAGAGAGAGATTTGAAGTTTGTCGTAGGCCTATTGAAAGTTCTCACAAATATCCATTGGTTACAGGTGATACTGTGTCAAAATGAGTTGTCTTCCATTTATTATCTTCCGCTTACTCCTTGTTGGGGTTGCGGAGGGAGCAGCTTCATCAGGGAAGCCCAAACTTCCCTCTCCACAGTCGCTTCTTCCAACTCCTCCAGAGGGATTCCAAAGCTTTCCTAGGCCATTCGGGAAGTCTCTCCAGCATGTTGTACGCCATGTTCCTCTCCCAGTAGAACATGCCCACACCACTTCATCAGGGAGGCGTTCAGGAGGCATCCTCATCAGATGGCGGAGCCCACCTCATCTGGCTCCTCTCAACGTGGAGGAGCAGCGGCTCGACTGTGAGTTCCTCTCGGATGACGGAGCTTCTCACTCTTTCAGCCCTGACCCCCTATGGAGGAAACTCATTATGGCCGCTTGTATCTGGGATCTTGTTCTTTCGGTCACGACCCACGGTTCGTGATTACAGGTGAGGGTAGGAATGTAGATTGACCGGTAAATTGAGAGCTTTGTCTTTTGGCTCAGTTGCCTTCCCCTAGTGGGAATCAGTGGGATTAAAATATTTTTTGTTTCACAAATCCAATTCATGCCTCATTGGCTGGGGCTCAACATTAGAATAACATTTATCAGATTTGACGACGGTTTAGTCACAGACTTTCCCAAAAGCCTTCTGCTCATTCATAAATTTGGAAATGGAATCGTGTTGAAATGTACACAATTGTGAAATTCGTCTTGCCTGGCAGAGAGCTCACCCCTGACCGAAGCGTCTGATGCTGGAATCGCCCTTGGTTACATCACTGAGCCGAATTTGGTTTTCGTAGGTTTGAAGTGCCTTGCTCAAGTGGCTCAATGACAGTGCTAGAGCGGCATCTTTCCAATCACTGTGTACCTGACACGTTCACATTCCACAAACTCCAACCCTCAGTCTTCCAATTTCAAGCCTTCATTGAACTGAGCCACTGCTGCCCCAACAAAATAATAACTTTGGCTGCACCAATTTGTGTTGAGAAGAAGCTTATGGTTTCTTTTTAATGCAGTGTCCATCATTCACCCATCATCATTCAGTATGTCTGTCATTTTGCCTTCCAATGTCATGCAGTTCACTTTTGTTTGTTGATGATTTTACAGCACAGCAGACGGGAAGAGAGCGTGCTGTCCTTCCGGGGATGGACTGGAGCCCAGAGAGTCCCACACCAGGGTGCTGCAGCACACCGCCGTTTAGGAATGATCATCAGGGGTGCCGCAGGAAATTATCTCATTTCATCGAAGTAGTCCCAAAATGATGACTTGTCTTTTCTTTATCTATGTATACCTGTGACATATAGTTACAGACAGAAGAAATGAATTATTTCCTTTAGATGGATTCTGGTACTATAAACCTGTGTGTCCTATCTGTTGTCATACATGCAAATGAATAAGATATGGCTTCCTGTAAGTGTATCAGCTTTGTGCTCTATTAAACAGGCCCGGATTTCACATGAAGTAAACAAATTGATATGAGAACATCATCGTTTCATACTTTTTGTGACATTTTTTGTTTGGTGGTGTGCTACGACGGCGTTTTCATGAAAAATGAATGCCGTAGCTCTGTAAAGGTTGGGAAATACTGCTGTAGCCTGCCTATCAGTGCTTCGTGTCCTCCAAGCAGTCCAATGTATCTGTTTGGTTGATTGTTAAGAATAAAGGAACAGCCATGGCAATGAAACATACCAACGAAATCATGCAAATAGCGCAAGTTGGTGTTGAGTGTTCATGACATAACATTCAACCACTCACTCGTTCTCCACATCTGAATGTGGAATGTGAACGTACCCAGCTGTTTTGTTGCACATCAAGCAGTTAAAAAAAGGAGAACTGCAGTTTTCCTGGTATGCAGCCTGCCTGAGTGGTTGGTGCCCAGCTGTCCCTTTTAAAAATAAAAATAAAAAAAAAACAACAAAACGACGGTCTGGGTTTCGCATGTTAATTCTCTCTCCCCCCCCCCACCACCACCATCAAAATGGGACACAATAAACATTTATGCAAGAACGTTTGTACAGTTATAAGTGCACGTTTGCGCGCGCGCATACACGCGCGCACACACCCGCACACGCACACGCTCGACCGCTCTCTCTCTCTCTCTCTCTCTCTCTCTCTCTCTCTCTCTCTCTCTCTCTCTCAGTGTCTCTCTCACTCACACACACACACGCACACACACACACATACATACTTACACACACACACACGCACCCTCACTCTCACACGCACACACACACACATACATACTTACACACACACACACGCACCCTCACTCTCACACGCACACACACACAGACACACACACACACACACACGCACACACACACACACACACACACACACGCACACACGCACAGTCAAACAAGCGCCATCCAAACACGCAGTGGGCGTGTCTTTCCTCCAGCACGAGTAAATAGAAGCGCGCCTGTGTGCTCCCCAGTCAAGAAATGACAGAGTCTCTTCGCTCCTGTACCGGCACCAGCGATTGCACATCTGCTCCATCACTGCGCGGCTTTGAACTCTCCAGTTTGAGACCCGGCCCAAATTATTTGCAACATTTCGGTAAGAATTGATCCTTCCTTAACAACCTTGCCGTTGTGATGGTTTGTGTTTGACGGATAAAACTGAAGGCATCATTTGTGCTGTTGGAGCCACAGGTGTGCATCTTTTTCTGCGTGTTTCGCGCGCCACCCCGCTAAAGATGCAGATCTCACTGCCTGCGGTCTCAAGGTAGCTTCGGTGTCAGGACTCGCTTTCTTGCTCGCTGTCTTCTGTGCGGGTAGTGAATATTTTCACGCACTTGGACCGTATAGGTAGTTCCAAGTGAGACGAAGGTAGGTTTCATCCAGCCCTGGTACCTACACTCACCGTGCGTGCAAATGTAAGCGCGACTGAACTAATTTAGCACAATGTAGTGCAAAAAAATGTTTGACTTGTGCGCCAGCAAATGCAAATGTGAAAAAAAAAATCGAAATGCTGGTTTGGTTGTCAACTCGTGTGTGTGTGTGTGTGTGTGTGTGTGTGTGTGTGTGTGTGGCGAGCTTGCTGGCTGTCTGACTCCAGGGGTAACAAGTGCACTCTGCAGTGCACCCCGCAAGTATCACTTAGCTGATCATTTCTCCTTTTGACAAGTAAACGAAAGGCTCCAGTCTTGTTTTGGGGGAATAATGTGCCCGCCCCCCGACCCGCTCCTTTTTAGCCCACTTATTCTCCCATGTTTGAAGAAGATAAAACAAAAAAATGGGATGCAAAAACCAAGGTCAGAATATAAAATTCACATAACAAGCACCCATACAGTATGGGATAAAAGCAAGCAAACCCATCAGTATACAAGAGTCTACAAAACAAAACAAAACAAACATGCTTCCAATGTGTAATAATACCACAAGAAAAGTTTCCCTTATACAAGAGAAAGAATATAACATAGGGTGAATGCTCAAATATAAAATTACTTTTTGAGCCGAGACCTCAGTGTTAAGGGTGAAGTTGTGATTGACAGGGGCAGCCTCTTCCCGATTGTCAGGCTGTTACTGCAGAATACTTGTCAGCTCCGACATTCGGATGAGAGAGTGGGTTGGATAGGAGCAAAACTATCTGCTCACAACTTGACCAAGCAACGTGTAGTCATGTCTTGTATGCATGAAATGTCATTGTGGTTATTTATGTTTCTGTTGTCCAAATGTGCATAGGGTTGCTGATTGTAATATTTATGTATTTTTTTTATTATCAACATATGTGACATTTACATTTCTTTGAGCTCATCCAAATATGCATGTCATGTTAAAAATTGAAATGACCATGCTTTTTTCGCCTCCGGTTCCAAGCAGGTCAATCTGATACTACACGATTGACGGAAGCCACAGCTGCTGATTCTTTGGTAGGGCAGATTTGTCATTATGGCTTGTGGCTTGGCGCTACATGCTGGAGTTATTGTTATTCTGCGGTCTCCACTGTCCTCTCTATTTTCTTGTGCCATCGGTCTCTGGTATCAAATGTGTGTTCTTGCTGAGACTAACAGCCACATTTTGGGAAGTAAATACAAGAGACCCTTGCTCTAGCCTTTGTTTGTTCGCGTGTGTGGTTCCAACTGATGATTTCAATCTGGCAGTCTTTTTGCAGTTTCCCGCTACTTTCAAATGGAAAACGTAACTAGAGCGGAGCCAATGCGTAGTGGAAGTGGAAAAGCGCCACATGACAAGTGACTAGGACAGCACTAAAACTGAATTGACTGTGACCGTTTTCGATACAATTACCGTGTAGCATTTAATTTGCAAGCAGTTCTTGGGTGAGACATTTCCACCTTTTTCAACGATGGTGGGCATACATTATTGACTGCTTATTTTCTTAGGATGTTTTGTCTCATTAATCTCATTGTTTCTCTAATGCAGTCACTGAGGCATTGAAGAGACACAATAACTGACTGTTTAATTGTGGGAGCTTGTTTTGACATCAGTATAGCTGTGGGAAAAGATTATTATTATTATTTTTGTCCCTGAATGATAATACCTAATGGTGGCATGTAGATGGGGAAGGCAATGTTTCTTGGCATGGAGCCAAACGGAATGGCTGCTAATATTGATGGCAACGTTTTTACAGGGAAATTCATGCCAAGAGCCGCAGAGAATGCACACTTGAAAACGTCAATCAAGTTGTGTGCGAAGAGGCTGCAGTGAAGTCATCGCAGATTTCCAAGTGCCCACTTTAGCAGGTGTGATGCTGAAGTGCTTGTCATTGGAGAAAACAAATCAATGTGGGTTGTTTTAAACTTAAAGCCTGCCCCAAAACTAACAGAAAGGCAGCCATTTGGCAATCGTGATCGACCTTTTTATGCATCTTTTATCAAAAGTAGTGGGTGTTCCGATGAGGAGTCTGTCAATATCACAAGGACTCTGTGTAACATTTTCAATTTTTAAGATACTGCTACCGATTTTTCTTAAATGATCAGTTAATCTGAAGTTTTTTTGGTTGTTGTAATACATTGGGGAAACATTTGTCCCTTTATTTTTCCCAAATAGGACATTGCTTCAAATTGACAGTTCACAAAATCCACAAATGATGATTCAGTTACTATTTTGGGCCGTAATATGTCAGAAAATAGTGGGAAATGTGGCTCATCATTCACCCCAAGTAAAAGCAGATGTTTGCAAATGTCCAATACGGATTTAACACAATGATAATCGCTACTCATGTTTATATTGTAGCCTTGTCAGAATTGAAACTAGCAATTAGCAAATCGAATGAAAATACTTCTTACCACACATCAAAGGGAAAATCAGAAGGGAATTTCATTTGAGTGGCATACTCCTGTTGCCAATCCTGCAGGAGGATGAGTATGAAATTATTTTTTTTTAATTTGATTAAGTTTAAGTGTAGTAAAAAGTCGGATGAGGAAAACAATAAGAAGAGTGCTTCAAGTAACATTTAGGAATAGTAACCCTTTAACCCGTTTTCAACTGTGGTTTATCTATCTGAACACTGGATGGCACCCATGTAAAGACCATTTCCCATCCATCCGCTTCCAAATCTGTTTACCCTTACAAGGATCGCGGGTCTGCTGGCATCCATCCCAGCTGTCTTTGGGCAGTCGGTGGGGTACACCCTGAACTGCTTGAAAGCCAATTGCAGGACACACAGAGACAAACAACCTCCACATTCACACTCACATAGACAAACATCAAATGTACTCACACTCACACCTAGGGACAATTTGGAGTGTTCAATCAGCTTGCCATGCATGTTTTTGGAATGTGGGAAGGAGGGAACCGGAGTACCCAGAGAAAACCCACACGGGCACGGGGAGAACATGGAAACTCCACACAGGAAGGCCGGAGCCGGAATTGAACTCGGGACCTCTGCACTGTGAGGCAGACGTGCTAACCAGTCGACAACCATTTTTCTTTTGTTCTTTTTTGAGCCCACGTAAAGATGTAGATGACTTCTGAAATCTGATGTGACGTCATGTCATAGCGCTCGACTATAATGTAAGTATGTGAATAAATAAATACATCATTATTTATAAGAAACACAAGACTACCAGATTACCCGAATGTCTGGTACAATTCGAGACAGTAACCCCGGGTGATTCGATTTTGTTTGACATTCTAAAACATATTTAAAAATTATTTTCTCAGCCCCCTCTGCATCGATCAAGCCCCTCTTTAGCCTCTGAAGAGGAAAAATCCTCGAACTGTCCCTGCTGCTCATGTAAAGACTAGACGGTCAACTTTTCAATCGTTATATGTAGCACGAGTGATTCACTCATTTTTACAGGCCATTACCGACGATCATCAATCAGCAAGCAGCTTTTTTTGACTACACCACCATGGTCAAATTAATTTTGCCTTAACATTTGGGCTTGCAGCAACTATATAATTGTTGGACCAAATGGAAATTCTAAGTGCAATTGTTTCGTAATTGCATGTCTGCTTAGTTGCATGTATTTTGTATAAAAGGTTCAGATTTTTACCTAATTATTTTCTGTTACAATCGGTAACTTATGACAACAAAGATTGTGAGGTTTTCAATTATGCATGTGCTCTACTCAGTTTAAAAGGTGGTCGCAGCGCAATGATGGACAAAAACGAAATAATTCATTTGCGAATGAGCGAACATGGAATATGGAGATTTTTTTTTCTCCCATTGCATTATTACACTGGCTGGCCAGTGCGGGTAATTCCATCAACTTTACAAAGATTGGATTGTACTGTATTAATGTGAAAAGTTCATAAAATGAATTATGTCAAATAATAAGTTCTTTGAAATTATTGGTATATAGTCATTCATAACAGTGCAAAAAGCATCACAGGAAATTGTACACAGTAATCAGAATCATCAGAATATCATTTGCAGAATGATGTCTGTCTTTTATAACTACATAACGTTGGATACATGAACCGAGGTTGCATTGCAAAAAAATTAGCCCACATATGAAAGGCTTGGCCAGGGGTGCCCATTACGTAGATCGCGATCGACCAGTGGATCAAGGACTGGTCCCAAGTCGATACGAGGGCTGTAGAGGGGAAAAAAAAATGTTAGTTCAAGATGTACACTGTCTCCTGCCTGAAGACACCTGGGATAGGCTCCAGCACGCCCGCGATCCTCATGAGGATAAACGGATTAGAATGTGGATGGATGATAGATGGTCTTAACGTGGGTGCCACCAAGTGTTTAGATCAGTGATTCTTCACCTTGATAGAGGTACCGAACCCAACCAGTTCATATGCACATTCACCGAACCCTTCATTAGTGAAAAATAAAAATGTGATTTTTTTTTTTTTTTTTTACAAATTCAAGACATAAAAAAACACATTTATTAAAAACAGAAAAGAACAAATAAAATTTCAAGACATAAGTTTTTTTTAAAAAATTGAACAAAATGAACCAGCCAGCGATGGCAAAGCATGCGTGTCAAAACTAATTGACATGTTGAGTCGGGTGTGTCTTAACCTCCATGGCAGAGGCTCCGTCAAACCCCTGAGACCGATTCACCGAACCCCTGGGGTTCGATCTGACCCAGGTTAAGAACCACTGGTTTAGATAGATAAAATTCATGGATGATGGTT